TGCCCATGTTTTATCCCTGGCCAAGTGCCAGGCAGCTCAACAACAAGCTCCATCTTTTGGTAGGATGCGGCTGGGGATCGAACCATGGAGCTCCCTCTCTCCGGGCAGACAGTATCAGACAGTATCAGACAGGGTCCATCTGAAGCCAAGTTAAACACCAGTACTCTTTCACTTTCAACATATAAAGAGAAGTTTTGAGTTGTGTTCTTCTAGATATCACAATATGATGATCAGAAGAACTTTTGAGTTTTGAATATTTATGCAGATGTTTCCAACATATCAAATAGAGCTGAAGTTCTGGATGTCAGATTATGCTTCTTTGAGAGGCATCATTATGGAACATTATGAATCTTTTGTTTTCTGGCAGCAGTTGAAATCCTGAAAAATAATTTCTTCAAATCGTTACCAACACATTTAGAGGTGAATCTGATGCTTATGGGACCATTCTAGCTGGTCATTTATCTTTTCAAAGCAGGTACCTTAGAAATTTGGCTTTGTATTTGTGTTGTGAACATTGCAAATCATATGAGTATTATGATGTTGAGAAAAGTGGCACCTGGGGCTGTTAATAAGTTACATGATGAAATTTGAAATGCTGCCATTGATTGAAATTTACAACTGGTCAATAATTGCTCGTCATTGTTAAAGCAGTCATCATTTGTTGTTTATTTGTGGGTTTTTTTGTTTAACACCGCACTCAGCAATATGCCAGCTATATGACGGCAGTCTGTAAATAATCGAGTCTAGACAGGACAATCCAGTGATTGACATCATGAGCATCGCTCCACACAATTGGTATACAATGACATGCATTAACCAAGTCAGTGAGCCTGATCACCCAATCCCGTTAGTCGCCTCTCACGACAAGCATAGTCACCTTTTACAGCAAGTATGGGTTGCTGAAGACCTATTTGTATTTTCCATATGCCTAAGATATAAAAACTTTTTTTGTCCCAAATAGTTGTCTATGATGGTGCAGCATTGGGTATAAGAAGCTCACAATACCTCAGAAAGTCTTCAATGAATTTATTAGTTGGTCGCATAATGAAAATGTTGTTTGTAAATTTTATGCGCCTGACCCAAATTTTGCAAAAGTAGAACATAATAGCTGTTTTATTGAAAATATGCTGTGTTTTTTTTAATAACCCTTATATTTTGTCTAAGACCTGCATCACTTTGAATTGGACTTCCAAAACAAGCTGAGACACTTTGACATAACTGATATAGTGTACAAACTGATGTTTAACCCAACTCACTCACTATACTCTGATTGTTTGTTTGTTTAATGCCACACTCAGCAATATTCTAGCTGTATGACGGCGGTCTGTAAATAATCGAGTCTGGACCAGACAATCCAATGATTGGTATCATGAGCATCTCTCCACACAATTGGGATCGATGACATGCATTACGCAAGTCAGCGAGCCTGACCATCCGATCCCGTTAGTCGCCTCTTGCACCTTTTACAGCACGCAGGGTTGCTGAAGCAGGGTTGCTTCAAGGGACCTATAATCTAACTGAGGTAGTTAGCCATGGTTAGTTACCTCAATTAGATTATAGACATTTAACCATGATAAGTAACACTATGTTTCATCTAAATGTAACGTTATATAATATTATTCTATCATTAGATAGGGGGGCACGGGTGGCCCAGTCGTCTAAGGCGCGGCAATTCGCTGTGCAGAGTTGCATTCCTTGGGCGCGCCAGAAACCTATGATTGTGGGTTCGAATCCCAGTTCGCCCCGATTATGTTTCTAGGTTTGTCAGCACCATACCCGTGCTCGTGGGTTTCACCGAAGTGGTAAACGTCTCAGACCTGCATCACTTCGGGCTTTCCTTCCAGATGAAGCTGACACGCCATGATATAACTGGAATACTGTTAAAGGCGGCGTTAAACCCAACTCACTCACTCACTATAATTAGATAGTCATTTATCTATGATAAATAACACTATGGTTCATCTAAATGTAACCTTATATAATATTATTCTATCATTAGATAAACATTTAACCATGACAAGTAAGACTATGTTTCATCTAAATATAACATTGTTATAAGTTACATTTAGATGAAACATAGTCTTACTTATCATGGTTAAATTTCAATAATCTAAGTAAGGATAAGATATATGGATGAACAACTTCTTTATTACATTAGGAGCGACGTTTCAGTGTAGGTTCTAACGCTGTTATCAAGCAAGTGATGTACAGGGTATGGTTGACAAGTATATATACAGGATAGGAGGTAGTGTTTATACAGTTGAGTAGGTTTAAGATGCAGTTACACTGCGGGGTTGGAGAAGCCTGTTATGTTCACAGAAATTGAAACCTGTAATCTAAACAAAAGGGTCAAGCCAGTAATATAAACATCAAAAGGATTATGACTGATTTGAATCTTTGATGAGGTATTTAACCATGATAAGTGAGACTATGTTTCATCTAAATGTAACATTGTTATATGATTATGCTTTATGAATATTGATAATATTGTATATAATACCACGGACTCTCATTTTGTTAGCTCCTTTAGGACAACTTCATTGTGATAAAACAAAATCTATTTCTGTCAAATAAGACATTTCTTTCCAGCTTTAGTGAAGATGTGAAGTCTTTACCATAGTCAAAAACAAAAACCCTTTGAGCTGACAGAAACGGTCATGTGCTAATTGTAATTAATGATGGTATGTATTTCTGTCAGTTCGAATATTCACATTCAAACATACATGTGAAATCTTTGCTGAGAAATCATGTATTATTTGATCCCTATAAATGTTCTCAGTGCATAAAACACACCCTGGCCCAGAATAATATGTTATTTAAGTAATGTGAATACATGTTTGTGCATTTTAAAGTAATAATTAAAATAATTTCTGAACATATTAGAATATGAATGAGATGTAGATCTCAGAGTAAATTATGGCTATTCTACTCTCAGACCATATTATGCTAATAATTCTTCTATTATGTAAATTTGACAATTATAATAATATGAAAGTCTGTTATATGTAAAACACCGTAGATATCTAGTTGCTATCAGCTGTGGAATATTTGACTGCTCCTGACAAAACGGCCAGTCCACATTTTCTCTCCCAGAATTGGTGTATTGATTTTTCCAAGTTGCCTGGCAACCAGACCCATTATTTGCTTAGAAACTCCATCAATTTCACTGTGTATAGATTAGTATGCCTTCCACTACAGTCGGCAGCTGATAGGAATTTCCACATCTAATTTGGCTCCCTGATCATAAAAATTTATGAAGATATTTGCATTGGAAATGAACCTCAGTATACACCATTGGTTGAGTGGAACAGGTTTTTCACCGGAGGTGGGATTTGACTGAAGTTATGTACAATTGATTTTAGAACTACCTGTTTAGAATAATGTATTTCCTTGATAATAAATGAGGAAATGGATTGATAAATTATCCATTTTAATCAGAATTAGTTGTACTACGGAACAAAGTGTGTGCAATCTATCGTAGTAGGGTGCTGTCACCAATAGAATGTTATTGAGCCAGATACTGGCTATGCCTGCACATGGAAGGCCCTTGTGTGATCAACATAAAAGACTTGCATGGACTGACAACTTGAAAAGCTTCTACATATCTGTTAAATGTTTTATGTATGTCGGAAAGAAAACACCCAAAAAACTTATTAATGAGGGAAAAACAATTTTTATATATCCCAGAGAATTTATGTGTTTTGCACATTTGTATGAACTTGGTCATATTTGATACAAGCGAAACAGGAAAAGTTGGCAAAGCTAATTCTGAAAATTAAGTTGACATTTATTTTAGTTTTGTTAAAGTGGCAGCTATTTTTGGCAGCTGTATGGTGTAACCCATGGACTACAGTGGCGCTTGTTGCATGGGTAAGACCCCCCGGGTCACAGTCGCTGTATTAGAATTCAGCCTCATGCAGTTCCATTATCAGAATCAATGCAACCACCTCGCGGAGCCTCATTATGGAAGCAGTGGATGGGGGAATATTGAGCTTCGTAAATTACATTGCATTACTCGCGGAGACCTCGCATCAATATCCTCGGTTAAATTAAGCCGGCCGTCTCCAGGGGAACATAGATTGGAAGCCTGCGCACGCCAAACATGACATTTTCAATAATTATGCTTCAAGTCCTAGCTAAATTCTCAATACATATCGTTAGTAATGGCATCTCATACGTCTTTGTCCAATGAGCAAAGGTTGTGTGATTATGGAACGGTATGGGACAACAGCAAAAAACGACAGGTTCCGTCTGAGTGCATGGGTTGGTCAAAATAATTGCACATTTATCATTGGGGAGAGAGCATTGTGAGCCATATTGGCGTTAATTTCTTTTGAATTTTGATGAGGCAGATAATTGGAGAAACCATTAATAACAATCATGATTGAGACTGAAAGAAGAACTATTCTTAACCATGTCAAGAATTTAAATGTAAAACTTGTGAAAATGGACATGTGTCATATGTTTGAATTGCATTTATTAAAATTAAATGCTGTTGGATTTTATCAAGTTTAACAGTGTTATAACAAAATGGTTTAATTCACTGATGGTGGCTTGTAATGTAGAGGTTGTTGGATAATAAATGCAAGATAGGGATTAGCTCAGCAATTCCACCAGTCCGGTTTGACCTCTAACACTGTGCTTGACACGGAAATTCATCCTTGCGCTGCTGCTAGTAGCGAATCGCGGAATCGTATTGCCTGCTACTTAACCTAGGCTGAGCCTCTCTCTAGCAAGACACATAGTGATACATTGGATATTATTATGACAGGTAATGAACATATTATAATAACTAAGCTTTGTTCAATGAAATATTCACAGTGGTATCAACGAATTATTAATTAGCACTATGGGTAAGTGTGAAATTCCGACATTTTGCCCCAAAATAAAAACAAATTTGACACGATGACCAAAAGCATGAGAGCTCCATGAAGCCAGGAAGCCATCGCTGGTTCCGAGACCATTGATCGGGGAGTTATCAACTCGGCTATGTTTTGCAGGTCCTCCGCTGGATTGAATGCTGTGCATCTGTTGACCATCATTTTGGCATCCCTGCACTCACGACATGGACACTGATTCGAACGATGGGACAGTTACGGAAAGCCTCAATGGAGAAACAAAACCGGACCCAACAAAGCTCGCCCATTCGGCCATTATTAAGCAGGTAAGACAAGCTATTGTGGGGACGCTCCCTCGTCTTGCTGTGGCTGATCGCCCGACCACACATGTGTAGTTGTTCAGGTACGCATACATTTTATGCAGGTAATGATTCCACTCATTAACAAATCTATGTTAATGATATGGAATGATCCTTGTGACTTCCTTCTCGCAACTGACGAAGAACTCTCAACTAATAATATTACAATATCTTTTGCTTCTTAATGGAGAGGGAAATTTTACTAGTTTTATGTACATGACCAGCGACGTGTGGTAGTGTGTTGTGTATAGAGAGGAGACATTGTTGGGAGATGGTGGACCTTCATATTACCAGGTATGCACAAACCGTGGACATGATATGTGTTACAGGGTTTATATTGCATTATTTATCTAGCATTTCATTCATTTATCTAATATTTTGCATTACATTTTTAACCAGTAGATTTAGGGTATTTCATGTGGATGATGAGTTTACATAAATTTTGGGGTGTGATTGGGGATGTTAAGATCATTTGTTGGAAATTCAATGGTGATGTATGAAGTGAATTTTCACTCATATTTTCATCATTATTTAATGTTTTATAAAGCGATTTTACATAATTTAGTAGCCGACTTCCCACAGATATATTTAGATGCTAGTGATGTTGACCATCTCAGAATCATATGTTTTGATGGTTTATGCTGAAAGTATTTCTTATTGATTTGAAATCAGGAAGTTAAGACGGATAATGCCAGTAACTGGTGTTACGACATTCTAGAATTATGGGGATTTGTGTTTTAGCTGTTTGAGGGATGAAATGTTTAAATATTTCTGATTTTGTCAGAATTGTAGTCATTCGTTTGTTATTCATAATACTGATATACGAGTGTTTGTATTTTTCTGTAATATGGAATATAATAATATGTTTTAATTAACTTTATGTTTAATTAAATAGTATCAACACAAGCTGTTATTTTGTAGGTTTTTGTCTGTTTTAGTAAAGGGACTGGTTATATGAGATTTATAGTGTTTTGTTATTGTGATATATCTTATACATTTATAATATTACTTTATTAGTTTTTGTTGTTTATCTCTTTGTATCAATAATAACTGTATTATTTGTTGTGATGATTTAATTGCAATTTGAATGAAAAAATATACAATGGCTATAATTTCTTCTTAACCTTGTCCTACACTCCATAATTTGAATGAAAAGTCGAATTATGGCGTATTTGTTGATTATCTTTTTGTATTAATAATTACTGTATTTATAGTAGTGACGATTTATTGACAGTTTGAATGTAAATAACTACGATGGCTATAATTTCTTCTTACACTCCATAATATGAATGACAAGTTTGTATTGTGTGTTAGATTGTGAAGAACTTGTGGCAATTAAACGCTTCTTCAGAAAGTGTGCACATTTATTCAATGATATGATATTCAAAACAGACACTGCTTTGTTGAACGCTGTTGATGTGTTGACGCGTGGGAGATAGTTCCCCATGTTGAGGTGAGGTGAAATGGGGTTTAGCGTCGCGTCCAAGATTATTGCACTTATATAGCGACGTGCATGCACGTGTGTGTGTTTGTGTGGCTGCTTGTACTAGTCCGGACTGATGCCGATTTATAGTGCTAGCCCACTGAGATACCATGCCGCAGTTGAACATGAATACCCCACTCAGACACAGTATACTGACTCCGAGCCAACCAGTCCTTGTTTTAGCCCCTTAATGCCGAGCGCCAGACAGGGTAACAACAAGTACCATCTTTTAACGTCTTTTGGTATGAGGCGGCCGGGGATCGAACCCCGGACCTTCCGCTCTCCGGGCGGACGCTCTACAACTAGACCACGGAGGCGGTCTCCCCGTGCTGAGACAGGTGCTTGTCGGGGGTGATAGGACAGGACACACTGGGGAGACATGATAACCATATCTTTAGCCTATGCCTTCATGTACAGTAAAAGCGGTGTTAAACCCAACTCACTCACTCACTCATGTACAGTATTTCTGTGCATTGAAAATAAAATGGCTAATCTAAACATGTGACACTTCTGATAAGAAACTCTGAATGTTTTTCCTACGTTTGAATGGGCTCTGATAGTAGGTCACCAGGTCTTCATCCTCATCCTTTAACAAAATGAAATATATATACCAGGGAGGTTACAGTCATGTTTCAGCTGAGCCTTTCAAATTGTACTTAATTATTGAGTACAGACTGAGTGAGTGAGTTTGATTTTATGCCACTTTTAGCAATATTCCAGCGATATGATCGTGGGGGACACCAGATTGACCTTCCCACATTGTACCCATGTGGGAATATAACGTGTGACAAGCAAACGCTTTAACCACTAGACTACCCCACCGCCCCATTTTATACAGATATGTCAACCCCCCCAAAACAGTTAAATGTTGTATTTTACTTTGTCAAATGTTAAGATGTATGCATTTTGAACTCATTTTCATATATCTGATTTGACAGCATTGTTGTTTGTTAAATTATAGGGTTTGTATACATTAATGCTCTGCTTAAGGAAAGTGTTTTTGGTTTGAGAAGTCCTGCTGTACAATGGATCTACCCTTGAGAAATCGTCATCGCTATGTGGCAGTGATATTGCTGACTGAACAATCTTGTCACATGTGATATTTCACCCGGAAGTTTTATAAAGAAAATCTCAAACAGTGATTATTTACCTGTCCAGTATCAGCTGAGTAGAGTATTTGAACATGGCTCTGTCATCTATAAGACACTGCAATTCTTCGTCCTGAGTTACTTCCCTTGTGCATACCAGGAACCTATGCTTATGGGTTCGAATCCCGGTTTGTCATGGATTTCACCAAAGTGGTAACCGTCTAAGGCCATAACTTTCCTCCACATCAAGCAGACATGCCGTAATTTCACTGGAATACTGTTCAAAGCAGTGTTAAACTCACTCACTCAGTAATGTGAATATTAGTGATATTCTGAGAGTGTAGTACAGTGTTATTGATCGTAGTGGCTTATGTCATTGTGTTGCACATGGTAAAGCAGCAGCACGAGTACTGATGAACCAGTATTATGGGAGCTGTATGAATTTGCATTAATGAAGTTAGACTATTATATAGATTTGGTGGACTAACATATAATAAACATATGAAATTTGAACAGCTGTTATGAGTATTGTGTTAGTATTGACATAAGGTGCTAATGGATGTGAGGATAGTTTTCAATATTGTGAGGCGGGATACATTTTTTGTTTTATGTTTTGTTGTTTTCAAACAAACTGTGTAAAACGTTTGTGTACATTATACTTTGATGAGTGTGATTCACCTGAAGAATTGTAGGACTAAATATATATTCGCAGTATTAAGTGCCCCCAGAATTTCTACGCCGATCGGTATGTTCTTGTGTATATTGCAGAGTGTGTATTGAAAACTGCATTGTAGAATAGGTATATAATTAGTTGTCATGTAACTGTTATCAAAATCATTTGAGTTTCCTTGATGTTTGAACCAAGTTTGTTCTCTATTGCTCGATCTCTGTCAACAAATTCTACTTGTGTATGGTTTGAATAAGTGCCCTCCTTGACAGTTTTGTAATAGCTGATGCTGTTTATTACAGTGAATATGGTGTATATAATTATATGGTGCATTTCATCAAGTATTGACAATTTTGTAATAGCCAGGGGTGTTTATTACAGTGAATATGGTGTATATAATTATATGGGGCATTTCATCAAGTATAGACAATTTTGTAATAGCCAGTGGTGTTTATTACAGTGAATATGGTGTATATAATTATATGGTGCATTTCATCAAGTATTGACAATTTTGTAATAGCCAGTGGTGTTTATTACAGTGAATACAGTGTATATAATTATATGGTGCAATTCATCAAGTATTGACAATTTTGTAATAGCCAGGGGTGTTTATTACAGTGAATATGGTGTATATAATTATATGGTGCATTTCATCAAGTATTGACAATTTTGTAATAGCCAGTGGTGTTTATTACAGTGAATACGGTGTATATAATTATATGGTGCAATTCATCAAGTATTGACAATTTTGTAATAGCCAGTGGTGTTTATTACAGTGAATATGGTGTATATATGGTGTATATAGATGGTGCATATAGATGGTGCATTTAAATCAAGTATAGACAATTTTGTAATAGCCAGGGGTGTTTATTACAGTGAATATGGTGTATATAGATGGTGCATTTCATCAAGTATAGACAATTTTGTAATAGCCAGTGGTGTTTATTACAGTGAATATGGTGTATATAATTATATGGTGCATCTCATCAAGTATTGACAATTTTGTAATAGCCAGGGGTGTTTATTACAGTGAATATGGTGTATATAGATGGTGCATTTTATCAAGTATTGACAATTTTGTAATAGCCAGGGGTGTTTATTACAGTGAATACAGTGTATATAATTATATGGTGCATTTTATCAAGTATAGTAAGAAGGAACACATTGATTTGGGATGATAAAATAATGTGAGGTGGAGTGTTTGGTAGTGAACATTTGATGATAAACTTATCATGGCCTCATGTGAATATATTTTGTCAATATTAACAGATGTTGTATGGAAAGTGTTGTATTTTAATGTGACAGACGTATTTCCGTCATTCGATAATGACACTTATGACAGCTGTGTGGTAGTGTAGTTGATTAATTAACAATATTTTTTAATGTGTCAAGTAGGGCTGGGACGAGTCCAAATTTACTACCCGGGTACCCACTGCAGGTCTCAAGAGTTGGGGACTAGTTTTATCGAAGCCCCAAAACTATTTAGATACATGTATCAAACGATCAGATCATGCGTACACTGAAGTTGACTGAAGCTTTATCTTTACTCAAACATATACACGTCAAAAGGAATGTGTGCATCGCCAGAAAGAAATGCGAACATTAGCGACTTGTAGTGTAACCACTGAGCTACAGTGAGTTTTTGTCATTAAACAATATGTCACGTGATTAACCACGGGTCCGGTTAGTCCTGTGGATACCCGGTTCCAAATCAGGACCCACCTGACCC